GAATCAACGTGTTTTGGTGTACCTCATTGCTCGTGGGAACAGTAGTGCGAACACTAGAAATCCTGTTCCGGCTGCATTCAATGTGTTATTGTTATTGAAGTCATCGTCAACAGTTGCTGGCACACATTCGAACGTACGCAGGGTCAATTTGTCTTTATTGTAATTTAGTGATATACTTACAAGCCCTGGTGCGGTAACGTGGGTGTAAAACCAGGTGTGTGTGTCTCAACTGTTATGTGAGTATTGGTCGACCAGATATGTGTGTGTATGACCGACGGGTCTTAAAGTAGTAAACATCACATTATTATGTACTGTTAGTCATTAACGCATATTATTTATTAATTGTATTCCATTGTATATTACAGCCGTTCAGGCCTGATTCAATCATATGTTATTATTTTTATTATTATCATTATTATAGCCAAAGAGGCAAATTAAATTATATTTTATACTATTATTATTGTTATTATTATTATTATTATCATCATTACTGTGCCAAACGGCAGTTAAAAATTTATTATAAAATACAGTCCACATTTTTATTTACAACGACAAGGCTGTTCAATATCATTTTGGTCACCTTAAGCGTTATCACCTATAATCTTATAACATTCATTATTGTTCATTAAATTTGTTCGACTTCGAGCATTCAGCTTTCAGCTTCAACATTCCAAAATTTAAGACTTTTTCCGATACCTAAATGTTGTAAGCAACTGCAATGATAGACAATGCGATTTGATTGATATTTCAGCACCTTTAGTATACTAAATTGTTAATACTATTACTTTAGTGTTATACTAATTTTACAATGGTAAATGTCTGGTAGGTATACCTTGTCTACAGTTATCAACTTCTTCATTAAAGTTTATGATAGAAGTGTGAAAATATAGTAATATTGTTAAGGTAATAATATAACAATATAAGTGTGAACAGTGAATCCAAAAAAATACTTTATATTCGTACTCCATTAATAAAAAATTGCGTTTTGAAAATGTTTGGGTAATAAATAATAATAATATTAATCAATTAATTATAATTAAAACAAAAATTGTACTGTTAAACATACTAAAATATTATATATATAGTATAACTGTTTCATGTACACAATGGTAAGACTGTAAAATATAAAATATATAAAAAGGACAAAATAGTACTGGATTAATAAAAAAATTAATAATTAAATTATAATATTACAAATATAGGTAAAAACTAAATTAACATAACAAAATATACATATTTTTAAGTATAATTATTTAATACATTGTCCTCATTTAGAATACTAAAAATTGATTTTAAAAACTAGAATAAAAATAAGGATAATGAACCCAAAAAACTTGGTAATAAATCTATAGACAATGAGAATGCAAAAAAAAAAAGAAGTTGGAGTCAAATAGAATTGATATTTTAAAATTGGTATCACTAGAGACGATGAAACTCATAAATTTAAATCACAATTAAAATCTGCATTAGAATCCAATAAGAAATTTATTTCTGCCAGTACTGAGATATTCATGGACATTGATTATGTTGAGTCTACTGAATTTGCAAGTTCATCAGCCAAAAATGTTAAACCAGAGATCCGTATCATAGATCCTTTTGAAATAATGGATCCTGATAGATACATAGGTGGATGATGATTTGTTTTTCTGATATAATAACCAAACGTCAAACAAATGGCCTAACAAAGTTGGCAGTTGAAAAACCGTCAACAAGTGGACCCAAATCATCTTTACCTAGAATTAAAGTAAATGGATTTAAACACCATTTAAATGGCAAAAATCATTTTAGAGGGAATTTAATTGAAATTGAAAATCGTATAAAAAGTATTTTAGCAAATCTGTACAAGGTACTAAAGTGACCATTGCAAATATACTAAATGCAATTTAAATGTCTAATCAACATCACAATTCACGAATGGAGATAACATTTAACAAAATAACTGAAGCAGTACAACACATTAAAAGATATGATGTCAGCCGATTATATGAAAGCAATCAAAATATTCTAGAAACAAAATTGAAGATCATTTTTATAGAAGTCATCTCTTGCAGAATTGGAAACTGAATTGGCATTTCAAATGTTCTTTCAAAGTTTATAAGCTGTACTTTGACCTTTGTACTAGCCAACTTTCAATGAAGGTATCTTCAAACGTTTCATAATTTTACTATGGAGAGATTTGAAAATCATTGAAGATAACGATCCAAAAATGAATTCAATGTTCTTTCCAATGAAATTTTGATGCGAATGCATCGATTTAATAGGTCTAATTTATGTTTGTATGGATATTGCTCTCGGATTCGACCGTCGCATGACATTGTTTTTTGTATGAACAGTAAATAATCGGAAATATTTTCAACAATTTATTAATGCTGTAATCGGAGGTTCTAATAAAGATCTGGAGTTATTTATCGATAATGTTACTTTTCATTGTTCCATGAATCAAATATTGTAAGGTTCTTGTAGATTCTACTACACAATACTAAAATACCAGTAACTCAAACTATTCCAAACTCTATCAACTCAAATAAAACAATTCAATACAGGTTCCTAGAAAAAACATCATTTCGGACCATCCTAACATACAGCATTCTTTCCATCCCTCCTGGTCAGTTCCGGTCATCAAATCTGTTCCGCCGCCTAGCTCTTCCACATTATTCTTCACTACATATTTCCTCTTGATTCTAGGTCTTCCAATGGGTATTTTGCCTGTGAAGTATCTGAACATAGCAACAAAAAATGTCAATGTATTAGAATCATTAAATATATGCTCAAAAATGTAATATTAACCACGGACTAAGATATACTAAACTGGTATCTACTACCTTATCAGTGACCATCAAATGATTTGAAAGCCACCGTATGGTACAACTATGGGTAAAACCACCATCTATACATGTGTTATATACAACATAATGATAATAATTGTTCTATATAAATTATACCTAAGTATATTATCAGTTACGTTGTTTGTTACTAGGAAGGCTAGTACAACTACTTGTGTTCAATTATTTATTATTGAGTTCATAAATCATATTATACACATACATTGCAGTGACCTGCTTAATTTAGAGCCTCACTCGACACCTACTATACATGTCAATGACTTCCATGATGTTCCAAATTTGACACCATTTTTATGTACTTATATATCTCTAAATTCAAATTAAAACTAGTATAGTTTCTGAGTTATTAAAATGTATTATATTAATACAAGAATAATAGATCATATAAATCGTTTTCAAAAAGAATAAAATGTATGTAATGTATAATTTAAAACTAATTATCCTCATAACATTTTTAGAAACATGAAAATGACAATAGATTAATTACTGTATAATTTTTATTTCATTATATCCCCTAATCTTCCAAACAAATATATTCTTAGTTCATAAAGTTAAATAACTCAAATTCTTCTATTCAAATTTTAGATACTTCATAATTTTCAAATTATGACTTTTCTAAATAATTTATAGGAAAAAAGAGGTTAGTAATGATGAAATTATAATAACTTATTCTCAATTTTCAGATTCTTTAAAAACTGAATCATTTCATAACTAGTCAAAAGCCGACCAAGACATTCGTTAGTCGTCAATTTAATTAATTGGTGAATTAACCATAAATCATTTGGTTTTTTGTTAGTTAAGACCATCACAACCTATGTTATAAAATTTATATTGAAGCATTTTACATACCTTGATAAAAATGGTTGGCTCAGGTTTAACTAGTATATCAGTACCACTGACAAAGGAGAATGATTCAAAGAAGTTGGCGGGCTCGTTACAATTGAAGCACAGATATTCGCCTGAAAATATAACAGAACCAATTAATATTAATTTTAATTACAATAATTATGTAAGACATAGAAAGAAGGAATAGGTTAAATGTAGTACATAATATGGATTTTGTGTTTCAATTATATTTTGATATTAAAAAGTTATTATATTTAGATACCATATACTTAATTAATAATTATAATATGACTATAAACCTCTATATGCTTTAATAAAAATTAATCTGACTATTATAGATGTAATTAAAGTTTACATTAATAAGACTGAAATACAAAATCACTATTAGAGGTCTAAACATACTAAAATTGTGTATAAATCAAATATTTTATAGCAACTAAGAGGGTCAAAACAGTAATAAGATACAAAAAAAACTTACTGGTATATTTCATTTGGATTATTCAGTAGGAAAACGTGTTGAATTGTTTCATTTGAGTTGTTAGAGTTTTGAATAGTTTGAGTGACTGGTATTTTAGTATTGTGTAGTAGAATCTACAGGAACCTTACAATATTTGATTCATGGAACAATGAAAAGTAGCATTATCGATAAATAACTCCAGATCTTTATTAGAACCTCCGATTACAGCATTAATAAATTGTTGAAAATATTTCCGATTATTTACTGTTCATACAAAAAACAATGTCATGCGATGGTCGAATCCGAGAGCAATATCCATACAAACATAAATTAGACCTATTAAATCGATGCATTCGCATCAAAATTTCATTGGAAAGAACATTGAATTCATTTTTGGATCGTTATCTTCAATGATTTTCAAATCTCTCCATAGTAAAATTATAAAAAGTTTGAAAATACCTTCATTGAAAGTTGGCTAGTGCAAAGGTCAAAAAACTTTGAAAGAACATTTGAAATGCTAATTCAGTTTCAAATTCTGCAAGAGATGACTTCTATAAAAATGATCTTCAATTTTGTTTCTAGAATATTTTGATTGCTTTCATGTAATCGGCTGACATCATATCTTTTAATGTGTTGTACTGCTTCAGTTATTTTGTTAAATGTTATCTCCATTCGTGAATTGTGATGTTGATTAGACATTTAAATTGCATTTAGTATATTTGCAATGGTCACTATAGTACCTTGTACAGATTTGCTAAAATACTTTTTATACGATTTTCAATTTCAATTAAATTCCCTCTAAAATGATTTTTGTCATTTAAATGGTGTTTAAATCCATTTACTTTAATTCTAGGTTAAGATGGTTTTCGTCCACTTGTAGAAGGTTTTACAACTGCCAAGTTTGTTAGGCCATTTGTTTGAGGTTTGCTTATTATATCAGAAAAACAAATTATCATCCACCTTTTGTATCTATCAGGATCCATTATTTCAAAAGGATCTATGATACGGATCTTTGGTTTTACATTTTTGGCTGATGAACTTGCAAATTCAGTAGATTCAACATAATCAATGGTCATGAGTACCTCCTCAATACTGGTAGAAATAAATATCTTATTGGATTTTAATGCAGATTTTAATTGTGATTTAAATCTATGAGCTTCGTTCTCTCTAGTTATACCAATTTTAAAATATTAATTCCATTTGACTCCAACTCCTTTTTTTTTTAAACATGCCCTTCGTCGATAGAATATGTATTACCATCTTCTTTTTCTGTATTCCTCTTATTTATAATCAAGCTCCTGAAATCAATTAATACAACAAAACTAAATTAATTATTTTGAGATAAATGTCATATTAATCATTATAGTCTTGTATTTTAAATGTATTATTCCTATTTTATCGTGGATTCTACTAGTGTTCTATGCTGTTATTTTTTTTAAGTACAACTCATCAGATTGGTTTTTCAGTTTCCAATTAGAATTCAAAAAAACGAATAGTCTTGTTTGTAAGGATTATACCAAATGCATGATGTAATTAGAGAAATTAAAAAAAGGAGACTCCAATGGGCAGGACATGTTAACGGTTATCGGATAACATATCGGTAAACGATAAACGATTGGAAACGGATAACGAAACAGAAACAAGAAACAATTGAAACATATAAGTGCCTGAAAAAAAATATTTATAAAATTATAACTACCTATCAGTAAAATATAAATTATTGTTTTTTTTGTAATTTTATATTTTTCAATCATTCTATTTTGTGTAATAACAAGCTATATCCATCAGATTACTCTAAAAGCTTCATAACTTGTAAATTTGTAAAACGTTTAAAAGCTTAAGTTGCATAACGTTTAAATTTTTATAACGTTTAAACGCTTAAATGAAGAAAAATTGTAAGAACATTTCTTGTGAAAGATTAAACTATAAATAATTCGTTGTTGGTTTCAATATTTTATGTACATTATATAATAAATAATGATTAAGAAACTACGAGGTTGGCGCCGCGCTCACTGAATACTTCATCTTACAAAATTTGGAAATGATTTCTGAGATTTCTGCCTTTTTAGGGGCCTACCACACACTATCATATTAGGGGATTATTATTATTACCACACTATTATAAATATGGATATAAATAACATAATATTTTAATGTAAGGGAAATGATAATTTTTTTGATCGTTGCTAGACGTTATTTTTTTGATGATTAGGATTTGTTGTCGTAAGTCATAGTTTTTTAATAATAATATGAATTTGCCGTTTCAAGGATCAATTTTTTTGTCGGGATAAGAACTAATGAATAATTTCGTGGGACTCACAGCACTCGGGATTCCGGGCGTTGCATAGTATTCCATAAAGGTGGGAGACAATTCGAATGTTGCCGTTTAGATAAGGAAATCTGGCAACGTTGCGCGACCGAAGCTCGGCAATTCGGCAACGTTCGTGAGTTTCAGCAGCTGCGTCGGTCAACGGCATTGACTCAGTGGTGGATACAAGGGGGGGGGGATGGTAACATTTACCGAAAACGGCTGTGTAGCGTCCTCTCAACATTTATTTGACACTGTACATTATGTACAATTATACATACAGTTTTATATTATTTATGCCTTTATGTCTTGGTCTATATTCGTAGCAACATCGAATTTAGAACGATACTGCGTTTACAGAGAGAACGAAACTGGGCGGCATCCCAGACTCATTCACTTATGAGTGTTCCCACCACTATACCAGCGTTTACGCATCGCGTCGGCCGCCATCACTACCACCGTAGTGTACATATAATATACATATTTACTTAAAATGGTAGCCACGTTGTGGGGGCATTAGACCTCAGGACGATGGAGTACATTCATCTGGGCGAATATTTAAGAATACAGACATTATAAAAATAGTGATGGGCAACAATATCCATAATTCGATTCGATATCGATTTGAGATAAACACGACAAAAATCATAATTATAAAGGTCAAGAGGAAGCTACACACACGCTTTTAGGTATTGTCTCTGTCTCACGAGTGTGCAACATAGCAAATTTAAAACAAACAAAATGGACACCGTATTAACGATCTGCGCCCGAGACAATTACGAGAGATAAAATTACATGCATTTGCACGTCGTTATTGTGAAAAGTACATACCCGTTATATGACATAATGCTAAACAGCAAAAAGTATCGTCAGTGAATTAGGATATTCCACATGGTTGTAAAAATGGACGACGCGAGTAAAACACACATGCACGTCTGCCGACGCAAAAACTCGAAATGCCATGACAGGCAAGCCGGGTGCTTGCATGACAAAATGGGTAATGATGTTAGCAACGATACGAGTTTTGGTCCGGTTAGCCCACCCTTCCCAGCCATAGTAGTGGTTCGCCTCATTTCATTGGCCGTTAAATTACCCGCCAAAAATACAATTTTGAAATATTAATTATAATTATAATTTTAAGATATTTATTTATTAACTATATTTTTCGTAGTTATGGTTGTTTATACTTATTCATTTTTCGATTTTTCGATCTTAATAGTTATTTAATTCATAATTCAAAACAAAAAACTAGAAATTCACTTACTCGGAGTATTATTTATAATATCACAGCTCAACAAATTTAAACAGATTACTGTCGCCGACAACGTTAAACACGTACACACAAAAAACATGTGTAAAAACGATATTTTTAAGTAGAAACCGAATAAAATAAAAAATATTAAGCAAGCGCACAACAATTTAACCAACATTTAAAAAAATAACCAATGAATAAAATCAGTAAAATGTTTAGTATTCAGGATATTTTCCATAACAATACTATAATACAATAAATAATATTGTCAATATAACAGACCACTATAATAATCTACTGTAATATCTTACAAAAAAATATTGATATTTTTCATTCCTCTCAAAGAGCATTACAAATAATTAGTTTATTTTGTTTCTAACTATCTTTTCAATTTAAAACAATATACATTATACATAGTATACCAACCTATAAAACTAGAGCACTAACATATTATTCGTTTAATATTGTTGTATTTTCCGCTATCTATGTATGTTTTTTGTCTAGCTATAGTATAAGTATTTAATTTTCTGTACTGAAGGCTTTCAGGTGTGTATTTAAAATAAATAAATAACCTTTACGTTTTTAACAATATCATATCATAATTATACTTTGTTATTGATTATAATATATTATATAAACGATCATTTGTTATCGTGTTCGTGCACACCTCGTCTTAACACCAGCTTTGGTATGGTGGAGGGTGGCTGGCACAGACGACGTGGCCCGCGGGTTTATAATATTTTCTTATAGCCGCCCGAGGACTCGTCCCTTTTCGCGAGCAGAGACCTCTCCGACAAGAGGTGACTGCCCATTAGCGTAATGTACTGAAAGCTCGGTAATAATATGCATTTATTTGATTATCGTCTAAACACTTTGGATTTTGTTTCGACATATGTCCTCGCTGAGTATATATGCAATTTCCTTCTCAATCCGCAAACTAGCTCAGACTGGTGTTCTCAAATTGGTCCGATTTTATTCTCCTCTCTACAATACCGTTCGCAAGCGTTTTTTAGGTATTCTAGATTTTTATTTTGTCATGATATATTTAATATATGGATTTTTGTTCACAAAATCATATCTCCACTGCAGGCTCAGATTCGATGGCGGTCTCAAGTCCGGTATTTATTCGTATTCATATTCGGTATTTATTGATTGTACTTATACATTAAAAAATATTATATGTGTATAGCTAAGGCTGGACAATTTAATACTAAGTCTTTCATACAAGTAGTTCATACTATTACCGAAAAATTACAGATAATTTTAGGAAAATTTTTATGCAAATACAATGTTTTTTCAAAAAGGAATTCATTCTGGTAAGACATATATATGGAATTCACGTCTTGCTTACTATAGTTGACAGTTGAAACTTGATAAAAATATTTTTTTTTAAGTAATAATAATACGGGCAATGGGGGGAGGGGCCTTTAGCCCGTTAGAACCCTCCCTGCGTAGGTACGCCACTGGTTATAGTAAACATATAGTGTATGCACTATGCCACTATGCACATTATAGACAAGAGGGATGCTAAGTTTCTATGTTTTCTTGTTTGATTGCTAAATAATTTGTTTGACGTGCTTATGAATGATTTTGATTTCGTTTGATAAGATCTCTCATAGTGTTTGACATACATCAGGCGTAGATGTTATCGTCAACTCAAATTTTGACTGAATATCCTCATTCATATAATAGGTTTTCTTTGTCTTTAATTTACTATTTTAAAAATAACAATACTATTAACTAATTAAACTTAAATCAATTATATCAAGTATGTGAAGATAAAAAAAAATACAATTAAAATGTCTAAAAATGCTTAAAAAATAACAGGAAAATAAATGTTTAATTTTTAAATCTCTAATGTAATAATTGAGATTTGGCTTGGAAAGAATTATTTCAGAAAAAATTGCATTATACATTGAAATCCGCTCTCTAGTTATAATATTTTAATTGTTATTAATTATTATTATCAACAATCTATTATTTATAATAAAACTATTAATTACAATTTCACTTAAGTCACGAATCATTTTAAATTACAGTAAAAGTTCTTTCCTTTTAACAATATAAATATTAATGGTTCAGTTTAAAATTGTATTAGTTTTTTTTTTCTATGAATGTGAATAAAACTTTATTTGTTGATTAAAAATACTTGAAAATGTAATGCAAGGCTACTACTTCATGGTTGCAATGACTTTTGAAAAATATTAAAAATCCCTAATTTTTATTCCATAGTTTTTTTTTATAAGCATTTAAAGTTGAAAAATTGACAAAATATGTAAAAATCTCAAAAATTAGCAAATTATTTTGAGTTAAGAATTCGTAAAAATGTTTAACTCTAAATCTAAAATTTTAAAATGTTATACAAGATTCCTTATATGATTTTCTACCTTTATCAAAAAAAAAATATCTATAAGAAAAGCAAATAAAATTTTTATGAGGGTTTGAAATTCAATTTTTTACAATATTCGATATTAACTCGATTTCTCATGTAGCGATTTTCTTATTTTTTTTTAATT